TTTTTGATTACTGTTTCAATTTCTTTGCTTGTAATTGGTTTGTTTAACTTTTGTGTTTCTTCCTTGGTCAGTCTTGGGAGGTTGTATTTTTCTAGGAAGTTGTCCATTTCTTCTAGGTTTTCCAGCTTGTTGGCATATAGGTTTTCATAGTAGTCTTTAATAATTCTTTGTATTTCTGTGGAGTCTGTCGTGATTTTTCCATTCTCATTTCTGATTATGTTGATTTGTGTTGACTCTCTTTTTCTCTTAATAAGTTGGGCTAGAGGCTTATCTATTTTGTTTATTTTCTCAAAGAACCAGCTCTTGGTTTCGTTGATTTTTGCTATTGTTTTATTCTTCTCAATTTTGTTTATTTCTTCTCTGATCTTTATTATGTCCCTCCTTCTGCTGACTTTAGGCCTCATTTGTTCTTCTTTTTCCAGTTTTAATAATTGTGATGTTAGACTATTCATTTGGGATTGTTCTTCCTTCTTCAAGTGTGCCTGGATTGCTATATACTTTCCTCTTAAGACTGCTTTCGCTGCATCCCACAGAAGTTGGGGCTTAGTGTTGTTGTTGTCATTTGTTTCTATATATTCCTTGATCTCTATTTTGATTTGTTCATTGATCCATTGATTATTTAGTAGCATGTTGTTAAGCCTCCATGTGTTTGTGAGCCTTTTTGTTTTCTTTGTAGAATTTATTTCTACTTTCATACCTTTGTGGTCTGAAAAATTGGTTGGTAGAATTTCAATATTGTGGAATTTACTGAGGCTCTTTTTGTGAGCTAGTATGTGGTCTATTCTGGAGAATGTTCCATGTGCACTTGAGAAGAATGTATATCCTGTTGCTTTTGGATGTAAAGTTCTATAGATGTCTATTAGGTCCATCTGTTCTAGTGTGTTGTTCAGTGCCTGTGTGTCTTTACTTATTTTCTGCCCGGTGGATCTATCCTTTGGGGTGAGTGGTGTGTTGAAGTCTCCTACAATGAATGCATTGCAGTCTATTTCCCTCTTTAGTTCTGTTAGTATTTGCTTCACATATGCTGGTGCTCCTGTATTGGGTGCATATATATTTAGAATGGTTATATCCTCTTGTTGGACTAAGCCCTTTATCATTATGTAGTGGCCTTCTTTATCTCTTGTTACTTTCTTTGTTTTGAAGTCTATTTTGTCTGATATTAGTACTGCAACCCCTGCTTTCTTCTCACTGTTGTTTGCCTGAAATATGTTTTTCCATCCCTTGACTTTTAGTCTATGCTTATCTTTGGGTTTAAGGTGAGTTTCTTGTAAGCAGCATATAGATGGGTCTTGCTTTTTTATCCATTCTATTACTCTATGTCTTTTGATTGGTGCATTAAGTCCATTTACATTTAGGGTGACTATTGAAAGATATGTACTTATTGCCATTGCAGGCTTTAGATTCGTGGTTACCAAAGGTTCAAGGTTAGCTTCTTTAGTATCTTACTGCCTAACTTAGCTCGCTTATTGAGCTGTTATATACACTGTCTGGAGAGTCTTTTCTTCTCTCCCTTCTTATTCCTCCTCCTCCATTCTTCATATGTTGTGTGTTTTGTTCTGTGCTCTTTTTAGGGGTGCTCCCATCTAGAGCAGTCCCTGTAGGATGCCCTGTAGAGGTGGTTTGTGGGAAGCAAATTCCCTCAGCTTTTGCTTGTCTGGGAATTGTTTGATCCCACCATCATATTTAAATGATAGTCGTGCTGGATACAGTATCCTTGGTTCAAGGCCCTTCTGTTTCATTGCATTAAGTATATCATGCCATTCTCTTCTGGCCTGTAGGGTTTCTGTTGAGAAGTCTGATGTTAGCCTGATTGGTTTTCCTTTATAGGTGACCTTTTTCTCTCTAGCTGCCTTTAAAACTCTTTCCTTGTCCTTGATCCTTGCCATTTTAATTATTATGTGTCTTGGTGTTGTCCTCCTTGGATCCTTTCTGTTGGGGGTTCTGTATAATTCCATGGTCTGTTCGATTATTTCCTCCCCCAGTTTGGGGAAGTTTTCAGCAATTATTTCTTCAAAGACACTTTCTATCCCTTTTCCTCTTTCTTCCTCTTCTGGTATCCCTATAATACGAATGTTTTTCCTTTTGTATTGGTCACATATTTCTCTTAGTGTTGTTTCATTCCTGGAGATCCTTTTATCTCTCTCTATGTCAGCTTCTATACGTTCCTGTTCTCTGGCTTCTATTCCTTCAATGGCCTCTTGCATCTTATCCATTCTGCTTATAAATCCTTCCAGGGATTGTTTCACTTCTGTGATCTCTTTCCTGACATCTGTGATCTCCTTCCGGACTTCATCCCACTGCTCTTGCATTTTTCTCTGCATCTCATCCCACTGCTCTTGCATTTTTCTCTGCATCTCATCCCATTGCTCTTGCATTTTTTTCTGCATCTCTGTCAGCATGTTCATGATTTTTATTTTGAATTCTTTTTCAGGAGGACTAGTTAGGTCTGTCTCCTTCTCAGGTGTTGTCTCTGTGATCTTTGTCTGCCTGTAGTTTTGCCTTTTCATGGTGATAGAGATAGTTTGCAGAGCTGGTACAAGTGACCGCTGGAAGAGCTTCCCTTCTTGTTGGTTTGTAGCCTTTTCCTGGGAGAATAGCGACCTCTAGTGGCTTGTGCTGGGCAGCTGTGCGCAGACAGGGCTTCTGCTTCCTGCCCAGTTGCTTTGGGGTTTATCTCCGCTGTTGCTGTGGGCTTGGCCTGGCTGGGGCTGTTCCTCCAAAATGGTGGAGCCCCGTTGGAGGGGGAGCAGCCAGGAGACTATTTATCTCCGTAAGGGGCCTCTGTGCTCCCTGCTGCCCAGGGGGTTAGAGTGCCCAGAGATCCCCAGATTCCCTGCTTCTGGTCTAAGTGACCTGTCCTGCCCCTTTAAGATTTCCAAAAAGCACTCTCCAAACCAAAACAACAACAGCAACAATGAGAGAGGGAACAGAAAGGAAAAAAAAAAGAAAAAACACGCGATTTTTTTTTTTTTTTCCCCAGGTGCCGGTCCCAGGCACCCGCGCACTGGTCCTGCTGCCCTGTCTCCCTAGCACCAGGGTCCCTGTCCTTTCAAGGCTTCCAAAAAGCACCCACCCACCGGTCCCGCAGGGAAGGAACGCTCAATATTCTTGGTCCTCAGGCACTGGTCCCACGCACCCGCTCACCAGTCCCGCCGCCCTGCCTCCCTAGCACCGGGGTCCCTGTCCCTTCAAGGCTTCCAAAAAGCACTCGGCAAAAAGAGAGAAAAAAAAGGGGAAAAACGCGCGATTTCTTCCGTCCTCAGGTGCTGGTCTCAGGCACCCACCCACCGGTCCCACAGGGAAAAATGCGGGATATTCTTTGTCCTCAGGTGCCGGTCCCAGGCACCCGCTCACCAGTCCCGCCGCCCTGCCTCCCTAGCACCGGGGTCCCTGTCCCTTTTAGGCTTCCAAAAAGCACTCGCAGAAAAGAGAAAAAAAAAAGGGGAAAAACGCGCGATTTCCTCTGTCCTCAAGTGCCGGTCTCAGGCACCCGCCCACCGGTCCCGCAGGGAAAAACGGGGGATATTCTTTGTCCTCAGGCGCCGGTCCCAGCCACCCGCTCACCAGTCCCGCCACCGTGCCTCCCTAGCACTGGGGTCCCCGTCCCTTCAAGGCTTCCAAAAAGCGCTTGCCAAAAAGAGAAAAAAAAAAAAAGGGGAAAAACGCGCGACCTCCTCCGTCCTCAGGCACCGGTCTCAGGCACCCGCCCCCAGGTCTCGCAGGGAGAAACGCGGGATATTCTTTGTCCTCCGGCGCCGTTCCCAGGCACCTCCTCACCGGTCCCGCCACCCTGCCTCCCCAGCAACGGGGGCCCGTCCCTCTAAGGCTTCCAAAAAGCACTCGCCAAAAAAAAAAATCGCTCCGGTTTCTTTCCACCCGCCGGGAGCCGGGGGGAGGGGCGCTCGTGTCCCGCCGGGCCGGGGCTTGTATCTTACCCCCTTCACAAGGCGCTGGGTTCTTGCAGGTGTGGATGTGGTCTGGATGTTGTCCTGTGTCCTCTGGTCTCTATTTTAGGAAGAGTTTTCTTTGTTATATTTTCATAGATCTATGTGTTTTTGGGAGGAGATTTCCACTGCTCTGCTCATGCCACCATCCTGGCTCCGCCTCTTCTGTCCATTTTTTAATTGGCTTATTTGCTTGTAGTTTGTTGAGGTGCGTGAGCTTTTTATATAATTTGGATTTCAACCCCTTATTGTATATGTCATTTATGAATATATTCTCCCATACTGTAAGATACCTTTTTGTTCTATTGATGGTGTCCTTTGCTGTACAGAAGCTTTTTAGTTTGATATAATCCCACTTGTTCATTTTTGCTTTTGTTTCCCTTGCCCGGGGAGATATGTTCATGAAGAAGTTGCTCATGTTTATGTCTAAGAGAGTTTTGCCTATGTTTTTTTCTAAGAGTTTTATGATTTCATGACTTATATTCAGGTCTTTGATCCATTTTGAGTTAACTTTTGTGCATGGGGTTAGACAGTGATCCAGTCTCATTCTCTTGCATGTGGCTGTCCACCAGTTTTCATTTCTATGGTCAGTGATGCTCTGACCATCCTAGCTCAGGTGTCCTGGTGGCCTGGTGTACCTGAGCAGGTCTGCCGGCTCAGAGCGTGTGAGGGTGTCCAGCGTTACCAGCTCCTGCCAGACTGTCCTCTGAAGGTGTCTAAACGATGACAGTGTGGAGACTGCACATTTGCCCACATTCTTGCCTGTGCTCGGTCTTGTGAGAATCTCTCGTTCGTTTTGCCCACCCGGTAGGTGGGTAGTGGTTATTCACCACCTCCCATTACAGAGTGTCCACTATTTAGGCACTGTTCTTGGTGCTGGGGATACAGGGCTGAGAGAGACTAAGGCCCTGACCCCCCAAGGCCCTGTGTTTTGGCTCTGAAGAAAATCACCCAGGGCCACGGGACAGTGGCCGGCTGGGCTCCGTGGGGGCTGGGGCGGGCCTGCCCGGGAGGCGCCCCGGAACTGGCTCTCCTGAGATGCCGGTGTCCCTGCAGGCTGGCCGGTGCTCCTGGGGCTCACGGGCATCCCTGCAGCGCTGCAGCTCCTCCTCCTGCCCTTCTTCCCGGAGAGCCCCAGGTACCTGCTGACTCAGAGGAAAGACCCAGGAGCTGCCCGTCACGGTAAGGCTCCCCCGCGGGCGGAGGGAGGGGGTGGGGGTCCCAGCAGCGCCGCTCCAGGAGGCTGCGCCCTCAGACTGCCCGGCTGCCCTCCCTCAGCGCTGCGGAGGCTGCGCGGCTGGGACCACGTGGACGCCGAGATGGAGGAGATCGAGCAGGAGGCGGAGGCCGAGAGGGCCGCGGGCATCGTCTCCGTGCCGAAGCTGCTCCGCGTGAGGTCCCTGCGGTGGCAGGTCCTCTCCGTCATCGTCCTCATGGGCGGCCAGCAGCTGTCGGGGGTGAACGCGGTAGGCGGGAAGGCTGGGCCGGGGGCTGGGGGGCAGGGACCTGGCTGTGGCCCTGCCAGCCCCACTAGCTCCTGGGGTGTCTTCCAGATCTACTACTACGCAGACCAGATCTACCTGAGGGCTGGGGTGGGGACACAAGATGTCCAGTACGTGACGGTGGGCACGGGGGCCGTCAACGTGCTGATGACCTGCTGCGCTGTGAGTATCCCCCGGGGCTGAGGTCTGTCAGGGGCATCTTGAGAGTTGGGGGATCTGCTGATTAAGGAGCCCAGATCCAAGGTGGTGACATGCCCCAGGGTCCCCTCACCTCTACAGCCTATGGCCCTCAGAGATGGAGACCCCGTCCCCACTCCGGAAGCCTCCCCAGGTGAGGTGGCTCTGCTTCAACATCTTACATTTGGGGCCAGTACCTGTGCCAGGGCCACAGCGTGACAGCAACAGCGGCCCGGGCTGGGCAGCATGGTGGCCATCCAAGGGCATGCACACTGGGCAGGGGACCCCCCAAAGCCCCCCACCCCAGCTACAATGCACGGCAGCTCCAGGGAGGGGTGTGGCTGGAACCCCAGGCCCACCGGCCTGCCCGTGGGGTGCAGGGCCCCTGAGCCTCCCCACTCGCCCTCGCTCCTCCCCCTGCAGGTGTTCGTGGTGGAGCTCCTGGGGAGGAGAGCCCTGCTCCTCCTGGGCTTCTCCGTCTGCTTCATCGCCTGCTGTGTGCTGACCGCCGCCCTGGCCCTGCAGGTGATGGTGGGGCCTGGGGCGCACGCTCCTCACTCTCGGTACAAGGCAAAAAGACCAAAATGACATTGTTTTAGCAATTGTAATGCAGCAGGAGTCCAGGGACCATCCGTCTGCGGCCCCCAACCCAGTGGTCCAGTACTCGCTTCCAGCTGATTTTCTGGAGGCATCAGGGTGGTGCTGCCTGTTGAATGAGGAGCTAGACGCCATCCTCCCCCAGCCCGGTGGGGTGGCTGGCCCTCGGGACCAAGGTTCCTGCTGTTCCTGAAGTTGTCTGTGTTTTGCCAGGTGTGACCCAACTGTTTCCTCCCACAGGACATGGTAACCGGGATGTCCTATGTCAGCATTACCTGTGTCATCGCCTACGTCATAGGACACGCCCTGGGGCCCAGTAGGTACCCCAGACCTGGTTCTCTGGTTTCATTGCCCACCTCCCACACCATCAGCCCTTAGAAACTTCAGGCTTGAGCCCCTTGGCGAGGCTCCGGGGAGGGCTGGATGCAGCCCTGAGATGGCTCCTCTCCCTACCTTCCTTTTGAAAAAGGATTTGGGCAGAGCGTAATCAGGGCAAAATCAGCAGAGCGGCCTGCGTAGGTGGCAACACGCAGCCCTGTGCGGTCACGGAGAGCCTTAGGTCGTCCCCTCGGGGGACATCAGAGGATGTAGCCTATTACGCTGAAACTCTTGTTTGCCCTCTCACACTGCTTTTTCACAAGACCAGAGCCCTGGAGACACACCGCTCCTCCTGTGGGCCGGGTGCCTCGGGCCCCAGGCCGCAGCAGGGGCCCCAGGGTGTCTGTGGGCTTGCGACGTCTTCAGGGCAAACAGCTCTTCCCCTTCCTCCCCTCTGCACCCACAAGGCCCCATCCCCGCGCTGCTCATCACCGAGATCTTCCTGCAGTCCCCCCGGCCAGCCGCCTACATGGTGGGGGGCAGCGTCCACTGGCTCTCCAACTTCGCCGTGGGCTTGGTCTTCCCATTCATTCAGGTAAGTGCAACCCGAGGGCCCTGGATTCACGAAATCCTGCAGCAATCAAGTGAGGACCTTTGCAAGGAAGTGAGCCTGGCTCCCCTTCCCACAGGTGGGCCTCGGGGCTTACAGCTTCATCATTTTTGCCGCCATATGCCTTCTTACCACCATCTACACCTTCCTGGTGGTCCCTGAGACCAAGGGCAAGACCTTCATGGAGATCAATCATATCTTCACCAAGAGGAACAAGGTGCCGGATGTGGACCCAGTAAAGGAGGAGCTGAAGGACTATCCGCCCACCGCGCTGGGGCAGTGACCCAAGAGCAGGAGCCTGCTGAGCAGGTCTGCACGGAGCTGCCCTGCTGGGATTCTTCCTGGCCAGCAGTTGTCTGTGAATATCCAGAACTAGGACATGTCCAGTGCGGAAAGCAGGCCCCGCTGGGACTGGCCGGAGCACCGCTGTGCAGTTCTGAAAGCCAGGCTGTGTCTCTCCGGACTGTCACACCAGCGGCCCCGGGTCACCGCGAGAACTGCTGCTCAGCCGCACTGGGTCCACCACTGCGTGGCTCCTGGTAACACCAGCTCTTACAGTGAACATCATTACTAAGGTGGCGAGATGGAAGGAATCAAATTTGGCCAGAGAAACAAACTCCTCTCCAATCTCTCGGGTCTTCAGACAGAGACCTTGGACCTCTGTTCTGAGCAGAATTAGTCCTCTTGTCAGAGCCGTCTCCAGAAAGGCCAGCCTTGGAAAGTGTGATGCCACAAAGAATGATGTCTAGGAAGCTGGGGAAAAGGTCCTGAGTCAGGGATGATTGATCCTAAATTACATTGTTAGAAGACAGTGGAGTTGCCTCTGTATACGCATTAAAACAAGTATGATCACTTTTTACCAAGATGCGCTGCTTTTCTGTGTGCAAGTGGAAGGCAGGGGGCATTCCCTGCTCATTCAAGAAGTTTACGCTAGGCTGTCAGCCCCTTGAGGGCATGGGTGGGGCCAGTGTTTTTCATCCTGGGATTCCAGTCCCCCTGCCTAGAGCAGGGCCTGGCCTGGAGCAGGCACACAGACAATATTTGCTGAAAGAAGGGGAGGAGTGAAGGGTGAGGTGGCTGCAAAGTTGTGATTTTTAACAGTAAAGATTGGGGAAGCCTCTGCACAGTGAACCCCGAGGTACACAGTGAACGCTGAGGGCTCCTGGGGTGGAGAGTCCTGGGTCCCTCTCCATCTATAGCCAAGCTACAGGCTCTTCTTAGACTTGTGTGTGCATGAAAAGGGTGTGTTCCAAAGGGTAGAGAAGACTTTGAGGCATGGGAAAGGGGAGGCTGCCTGCTGAGGAGCCTCTGGCAGGATGGGAATTCTCCTGCAAGTTTGGGAGACAGAGGCCAGGGACCAGGCAAAACAGAGGGGAGAGTGGTAGCAGCTGTTGTCAGGGTGGAACGGGCATTCCACAGGTGATGAGTTAGAGGACCTGCAAGAGTAAGAAGGCCCAGGCAAGTAAACATCGCAATCCACCATTGAACTATCCTTGACCTGCAGCAGGGACGCGCAGTGTGAAGGGGACACAGAAAACAGCCACAGACGGAACCTGTCAAGGCTGAGAAGTGGGAAGGCTGGAATGTCAGAAGTCAAGGGACTGCGGTGTTTGGTCTGAAAGTGAAGCCAGGAAGGTGTGGGACACTGACTGAGATCCTTTGGGTCCTCGTGAGCCAAACTGATCTGAACTTTGTCCGCAAGAGGAGCGCATGGGACGTGCAAAAAGATGCCTAGAAGGAGATTGGCCATAGGGATCTGGAGCTTAGGAGAGCTGGGATGTAGATTTGGGGAAACAACGCGTATTTGCTGAGCACCTACTGTGTTCCAGGCACTGGGCTTCAGCAATGAAGAAAACCATGCGGAGTGTGAGGTATGGTAAAGGAAAATAGAATAGCATAAGGGGTGACAGATGGGGGCCTGTTGTTTTTGAGGGAAGGACAGGAGGATCTCCAGAATGAGGAAGAGAGCCCGTCAGGAGGGAAGCTACACAAGCATGGGCCCAGGGGAGAGCAGGTGCAGATGTCTCGAGGTGAGGGGCCTGGTCCTGTCCAGGAAGTGAGGAGAGGCCGGTGGAGCTACGGCAGAAAGGGGAGAGGAAGGTCAGGCTGTGCAGTCTTAGTGGGCCACCGGGGATTTGGGATTTCACTCCAGCTGTGACAGGAAGCCACTGGCTGACTTGAGCCAGGGTGTCTGAGTCTGATTTGCAACAGGAAGAGCCCTTCCAGCTCTCTAGAGAAGACAGATCCTCTCCAAAAGACCCACAAACAGGTTAATGCCCCAACTTTGCCTAAGATTGCCCTGGGCTGCAGACTGGGTGGACGAAAGGTGAGTGGTGAAGTACCATCAAATAAGGGACACAGGTGCCACTAAAGACCCAGCTGCCAGCTCTGCTGTTTGCTGGGACCACAGAAGGAGGTGTCCATCAGTTCAAGGACTCAGTGATCTCAAGGAGAGCAGTTAGAAGAGAATGAGGGCAGAAGGGAGACCTCCAGAGCAAGGGTGACATCAAGGCAGAGATGAAGTTTTATAACCAAAATGTATTCTTATTTCCTCCTTCCTCCCCTCACAGTTCCTGTTTGAGTATGTGTTTTATCCCATAACATGTAAATGTATAGAACTTGCAAAAAATAAATGTACATATATTGGCAGTGTGTGTGCAAAACTTTGTCACTGATGGAATAGTACGATGGAAAGGGTTTGGAGACCCCTGGGGACCAAGCTGACTGCAAAGACAAGCAAAGACCGAGGAGAAATGACATGTTGGGAGAATTGGAAAATGTCAGGAGATCAGAGGTCCCTTGGATGCTGGTCAAAGTCGGTTGGGGTCAGGGCAGTCAGCAAGTGATTGGCAGGTGCAGAGTGGCTGCAGACCCCATGTGCTCACTGCTGCATCTAGAGGGCCACGAGGAGTGGCTGGCTCGCAGCAGGGCCTCCCTGCGTGGTTTCAAATGGATGAGACTTGGCCAGGAGGATTTTTCTGGGGTGAAGGCCAAGTAGAGTGAGGCTGAGCTGACACAGGCAAGAGCATAACTGGGGAGCAATTGCCAGCCCCAAGGCCACATGTTCATAACCTCATCAGGCATCTGGGGAGCAGCTGTCACCAGCAGTTTCCACACGTGTATGTCACCAACCCAAATGTGATGGGCCAACACCGGCCGTGTACTTTTTATTTTGCAAGCAAAAACACTAAAAATGAATAAATAAGTAACTCCTGACTACCACCATAATGAGAAATAGACAATTTTTTTGAAAGGGCATCTGACCACAAAGGAAAGATGTGATGTGATCACAGAATAAATTTTAGTCCTTTATATTGAATAGACTTTTCTTTGTGGACACCTCACTACATTGCTCTCATCCTGATGTCCCTTAACCAGCAGGAGGCAGGCTTCAGGACCCAGAGGGCGGCAACGTCGGCTGTTTTGGGTATGGGAGGGCTTGTGGAAAGGAGTCTGAAGTCCCACCCTGGAGCTTGTGTGAGGCGGAGTCCTGCCTTCTTAAATCTGCTTCCTCAAGGACAAGCTCCTGAGAGAAGAAGGAGGAGGGATGTAGCTGCCAGCCTGACACCTCATTTGCATGCATTTCATCGCACAAATATGTGAACTTTGGCTCTTACCCATGAACACTGCCTGTCCTCTTCCCCTCTCCCACTCTCCCCTAGCCAGCTGACTGCAAGCTCGCTGAGGGCCGCTCCTGTCCCCCAGCTTTCAGCTCAGCACTGGGACAGGGCAGGGATGCCTGGATGGCATCATCTGTCTTCAAGGAATTTCCTATCTAGCCAGGAAGATGAAAACCACATAAAAGAGGTACTTCAGGGCAATAAGAACTGACCAAACGGGAGCAGCTGTAGCTAGTTTTGAGTCTGCTGTCAGCATTGTCTTCATCAGCTGAGCAGCTCTAGTGTCTCACAGGGGGCTTGGCATTTGTTGGCACTTAATAAATGTTGAATGGATAAGGTGATTTGGAGGGTAGAAGCGGGGGCAGCATCGTGAGCACCAGGAATCAAGGACATTCATTTATCCGACAAATAACTGTTGAGATCCTACTATGTGCCAGGTAGGGGATATAATGGATCTAATGGTCAAAAATACAAGTGAACAAATACTTACGGTACTTCAAAATAATGCTCAGGGTGAAGTGTTTAGAGAGTGCCAGGTGAGGGGCGGGAGCTACTAAGAAAGGATGGTAAGGAGGTGACATTTTCCCTGAGACCAAGAGGGGACTGTTTCAAGCAGAGGGAAGGAGCGTGGTTTTGCCGTCAGCTTGACGTTGTTGCTGTGATCCACTCGGCGAGGCAGGGAGGCGTGCAGAGCGTGATCAGCTAACCCAGAGGTGGGGATTGTTCTGGATTATTCACGTGGGCCCAGTGTAATCCCAGGGAAAAGGGAGACCCAGCAGGAGAAAGACTCAGCCCCGTGTTGATGACTTTGCAGATGGAGGAAGCGACCATAAGCAAGGGGCATGGGTGGCCTTTACAAGCTGGAAAAGGCAAGGAAATGGATTCTCCCTTAGAACGTCTGGAACCCAGTGCAGCTCTGCTGACACCTTTATTTGAGCTCAGTGGAATCTGTGTCAGACTGCTGACCACCTCCAGAACTGTAAGGTGACCATTTGTGTTGTTTTAAGGCACTAAGTTTGTGGTATTTTGCTACAGCGGCCACAGGAGATGCATACAGTTCTTGAAAGTGGGAAGTAAGGAAGCTATAACAAATACCTAAAAACTCAGAAATGGCTTTAGCATTGGGAATGGGAAGAGGCTAGAAGAATTTTGTAGAAAACACCTAGGTTGCCTTGAACAGACTGTGAGTAGAAATATGAATGTTAACATTCCACTGCTCATTGGGCAGCCAGGCTCTGCCGCTAAGGTTAAAAGGCAGGCAGGTGCCACCCAAGGCAGAGACCAGGGCAGAACTCAAGATTGCAATCTGTTTTCTTTTGCGATAAAGTTCTCCTTGTTTATCTGTCCTGTCAGTTAATTGACATAATTAAGTTGTATTTCTTCAGAAGTATATTTAGTTTGCTCTTTCCCACAAATGGACAATAAGTCCAAATTTGTAAGAGGAACACAGGCAGAGAAATAACACAGGAGAGCGTAATAGAGCCAGGCAACCAGGCCCAGCTGGTTTCCAAGACGCTACCTTTCTAGGGACCAACAGCAGATAGTGGTTTGCCATCCTTGGGGCAACGGGGAAGCTTCTGGTTTGGGGCTTGGCAGAGGCAAAAATCCGTGCTGTGTGTGACTCTATCAACACCTCCAAGGAAAATGTGCTCCCCCGGAAAGCTAGCAGCTTCCAGAGGCCAAAAGGGCAATAGAGCCACACAGACGCGGGAGAAACAACCGGTCCTGCAAGTGGTCAGCACAAAGGGGTTCCAGGTGTCACTTGGGAGGCAGAGCGCATCTGCTTTTCACCTGAACAAGGATGAAGATAAGGAGGGGCCCCTCTGCCCACCCCACCCGGGGAGGGGGTAAGTGACAAGTCTAGGAAACTGTCACTGTTCTTTTCCCACCAGGAGGGGGAATCTGGGGGGTGGGGGACGGGAAGGCTCCTGCAATGCTTCTAGCAGGGAGAGCACCACCCCTGCCTTTGCTGGGGTCACCCACCCTGGGAGAGCAGTGGGGATAAAGCAGCTTCTCCAAACATCAGACCCATAGCCTGAGAGATGGGAGAGGAGTCCAGCTCTAGGGCAGTGCGGGAGGCGAGGATGGTGGAGAGGCTGCCCTCCCTGCCTCCTGGTCCCCCAACCCCCACAGGTGCAGGAATCCCTCCCTTCTCTGCCCGGCTGGCTCCGGGGGCTGTCACAGTCAGGCAGCTGATGGTAGCAGGGAGGTCAGGGGTGCAGTTAATAGTCTGGCCGGGGGTGGGTGCCAGGCCCAGGGGCGGTGGCTCTGCACCAGCGGGCTTCTTGGAGCCCCGAGGCGTGGACTCATGGACTGGGGCAGCCACAGACCCTGGGCCCCACCCCCTCCTCAGATTTGTCCCACGGGCCAGTTCCCTGGAGCCACAGAAGCGCGACACGGTGGTTTCCCAGGCCTGTCTGGGAGTGTAGGCCCGTCCGCGGAGAGGCACTCCCTGTCCGTCCCAATGGACGTAGCCCTCGCCCCACACTGGCTCGCCGCACCCCATTACCCTGTTTGATTGTCCTCAGCTTGATGGCTAGTTGGAATTCTCTTTGTTTGTCTTTGCCTTGCGTCCTCCCCCCACTGGAATGTAAGCTCTGCAAGGGGAGGGCGATGCTGTGCCTTCACCGGAAGCATCCCTGCTCACGCAGGGCCAGGCGGGACCCACGGGAGCCTTAGGCCAGGTCCTCCAGGAGGGCGGGAGTGGGCACCGCGAGCAGCGCCACAGCCCTCGCCGCCGCCGGCCGCCCCTGCCTGCATGGCCACCTCCACCTGCCGGGCCAGGGCCTGGGGTCCGGCCCCTACCACCGGCCCCACCCGGTGGTGCTCCTGGGGGTCTCAGGGGCCACCCAGCCCCTGCCCAGGGATCACGCCTCCTACCCAGCGGGCATCACTGAGCCAGCCCTTGGCTCAAACTCCCGATGTGGCTGCGTCACTGTGGTCAGCCCGCTGCCCCAGGCAGGCACAAGGTGGGCACGAGGTGGGCACGAGGTGGGCAGGAGGCGGCCGCCCTCTTCCTTCCAGAGCCTCCGTCTTCCCCTGGTATTGCCGGATGCCGGCCTCTGAGGACCAGGGAATGGGTCCGGTTGTTTCTTCCCGGGGTGTCATCCTTTCCAGGCACATTGAGACACAGAGGGTGGGGCGGGGTGGGGGGACCTGGACTCTCTGCCCAGTGGTTGTGGGTCTTAGTCCCACTTCCCTTATCCTGGGAAAGCCACTTGGAGATGGCAGAGGATGGGGTCAAGGACCAGACCCTGGGCATTTAGGGATTGCGATAGAACGAGGGGAAGCAAAGGAAAAAGAGAAGGGCCTTGTCAGGTGGGGAAGTGCCTGAGGGCAGAGGGTCCCCAGGGCCTAGTAAAGGAGGTGAGCCCCAGCTGCTGGGTCAAGAGGAGGGCTGAGAACCGACCACCGGCCTTGGCCTCATAGAGGGTGTGAGTGACCCTGACAGGACCAGCTGGAGGCAACAGCTTGACTGGAGTGGGTTCAGGGGAGAACGGGGGTGGGCCAGAGAGGGACCGTGAGGACACACAGCAGCTTGGTGTTCTGCATAAGGGAGCAAAAAATGAAGCTTGGAGATGAGAGATGAGGGGGTCATGGTAGGACCTCCTAGGGCAGGAGTCATGCTTCCATACCCATGAGAAGGAGGGACAGTGGTGCAGGACAGACAGGACAGCCACAGGGAGAAATCCCCGGAAGGGTAAGGACGGGCCCCGGTGTCAGCTGCTGTCATTTGGGTATATGGGCTCCGCTGTACTTTTAAAATCCATGTCATTAGTTAATAGCTACACATCACTCAGCATCTGCTTTATAGGCTGCACTACAACAGCCTGTAACATGTCGCTTGTGACATGTTAATATAATTACTGCCACTCATGGGCCTTTTTTTCTCAGTCAAGCAATATGCCAGCCCGGTATCATCCTGACTGCTCAGGAATTCTCTCTTGGATCCACTTTATTCCTGTAACTGATAAGGAAACTAAGGCTTAGAGAAGTAATGGAATTCGTCCAAAGTCACACAA